TATATATATTTTTAGTTGTCCAGATCATTTCTTTCTATTTTTTTAGTAGAGACGGGGTCTCGCTCTTGCTCAGGCTGGTCTCGAATTCCTGACCTTGAGTGATCCACCCACCTCGGCCTCCCAGAATGCTAGGATTACAGGCGTGAGCCACCGCACCCGGCCTGTTTTTTTCTTAAATCCACTCTGGCAGTCTTTTCTTAAAAGAATTGGAGTATTTGGTCTAATTCTTTTCCACATTATCCCATTCATTTCTTGGTTCACTTTTTTTCTCCTTTTTTTTTTTTTTTTTTTGCTTTCCTTTGGATTAAAGTAGTTTTTATTATACCATTTCACCCCTACTATTATTCTTTTAGTAGTGATCCTAGAGATTCCATCATGCACCTTTGACTTGTTAGAGTATACTTTAATCTGGCACCTCTTAACACTTCCTGGGCATATTATTACAATTTCCCAAAGATTTATCCTCTCGTGCTGCCCATTTCTTCCTGCTTTGCCATCTGGAATCTTTTCCATCTGCCTAAAGAATGTCCTTTAGCGTATGTGTGTATGTGGGCATGTGTATGTTTAGTGTATCTTGTATCAATGGACTTACATTTGTTTGAATGAAAATATCTTCTCTTTTTTTAAAAGAGATTTTCACTGGGTACAGTATTCTAAACTGGAGTTATTTTCTTTTAGCACTTTAAAAATATCATTCCACTGTGTTTTTGCTTCCATTGTTTCTGTTGAGAAATTAGCTCTCAGTCTTATTAAGGTTGCTTCTTTATCAGTAATGTTTGTTTTTCTGGCTACTTAGAAGACTTCTTTTTCTCTGGTTCCCAACAGTTTTGCTATAATGTTCCTTTGTGGTTTTCTTTATATTTATCCTTCTTAAAATTTGTGGAGTTTACTGAATTTGTGCCTTGATTTTTTTTATATTCAGTTTTAGAAAATTCTCATCCAGTATTTCTTAAAATAGACTGATTAGTGCAGTGTCTCTTTCCTCTCTTCTTCTGGGACTACATACAATGTTCTGAATGTTAGATCTTTTTGCTATGTATCATATAGTTCTTATGCTCCGTGTCTGTATTTTCCTTTCTTTATTCTCTATATACTTGAATCTGAATAGTTTCTATTATATTCCAGTTTCTTAATCTTCTTTTGGTGTTTCTTACCTATCCTATATCCATCTATTGGGTTTTTATTTTTAGATACAGAAACTCCTCAACTTACAATAGGGCTACATCCCAATACATGAGTTAAAAAGTGTGTTTTTGACTCATGATATTTTCAACTTACAATCACTTTATCCAGACATAACACCATCATAAGTGGAGGATTACACTGAATACGTATGGCTTTTGTACCATGAAGTCGAAAAATTGTAAGCCAGAAACTGACTGTATTGTGATTTTAGGTTCTAGAATTTCTGTGTGATTTTAAAAATTTGTTGATTCCAGGTCTCTAATAAAATTCTCCATTCTCCTTTTTTATTAAACATACAAATTATAATTATTTTAAAGGCTGTATCTGGTAACTCCAACTCTGTCTCCAGCTTGGCAAGACAACCAAAATAATCTGTTCAGCTTCTCAGTTACTGCTTTCTGTCGGTTTCTCAGAAACTGGCTCCATACATGGATAGTTCAGAGATTAGCAGTAGTTCTAGGGAAAACTGCAGGCAGAATTTCAGGCCTACTTCTCTGCTGTTCCTTCTAGAATTTTTGGCCCCTCGCACTTTGGCTGTGATGGTACCCCAAAATTCCAGTCCATTTTCTGTTGTTACAACTGAATACTTGAGATTCGAAAAGAAATTACTTAGCTCACAGTTCTGGATGCTGGGAAGTCCAGGAGCATGGTGTCAGCATCCAGTGAGGGCCTTCCTGCTGCATCATAACATGGCGGGGGGTGTCACATGGTAAAGAGGGCAAGAACATGCCTGCTCAGATCTCTCTTCTTCTTATAAAGCCACTAGTCCAATCATGGGGATCCCACACTGATGACTTTATCTAATCCTAATTACCTCCCAAAGGCCCCACCTCCAAATACCAGCAGCATATAAATTTGAGGATTAAGTTTCCAACACATAAAATTTGGGGGACACATTCAAACCATAGCACTCTCCCCCACCCCAAGTTCAGAACCCCTAATATGGGGCTCAATTAATGTATTCTTCTCTTTTATGACCCATTTCTCTTCACAAAAGTAATTCATGGTAATTAAAGAAAATTTAGAAAATACGGATTAGCCACACTGAAGAAATAAACATCACCTATAATCTTACTACCTAGAATCAGACAGTTGTTACCAATTTGATACATGTTCATTGCCATTCTTTCTTGTGTGAAATCATATTTTTGATGCTATTTTTCACTAGGAATATCTTGAAAATCTTTGCATGTTATTACATATTCTACCACAATGATTTTCAAATTATTTCAAATGATTGTAAAGCAGTGTAACTGACTTAGATGGAACCCCAGTTTGTAACATAGGTGAGAACAGACCCATTGTGGCAGAAGTGGCCTCTGGGGCGCCTGTTTGGAAACTCAAAATCACTGAGGGACATAGTTGACTCCGGGTATATTGCTGTATGTGTGGTTCAAAATTTATTTATTCGGTACACTGTTATTCGACATTTAGGTTGTTGCCTACTTTTTCAGTGTTATAATAATGCTATAGTGAATATTCTTGATTGTTTTCTTAGGGAAAATTCTTAGAAATGGAATTTCTGGGACCAAGGGTATGCATGTTTGGTTAAGTAGTTTTGTTGAATTATATACCAAAAAAGTTATATTAGCTTCTTATTTCTACAGCTGTGTGAGAGAGTACCCATTTACTTCCCTACACCTTTAATGATACTTGGTGGTTTTTTTTTTTTTTCTCCTTAGTATGGATCATTCCCCTCACCAACAGTTTATTGTGAAACATTGCAAACACAGAGTAAATGTGAAAGAATTTTACAGCAAACATCATATACTAACCACCTGGTTTCCACTATTAGCATTTTATTATGCTTGTTTTATCACATGTTTATCTACCTGTACCTCTTTCTGATAAATCTCAAAGTAAATTGTACATACTAATATGCTTCTGCCTCAGAAATTCGGCATGCATTGCACAGATCTTAGTGTATGTTTGCTGAATTTTAACAAAGCATACAAATGGGTAATTTTTCAATGATAAAACAAATATGTAGACATAAGAAAAAATCTCAAGTGAGATTATAGAGGATTATCATGTTCTTTGTTAAGTTTCTATAGCACTGAAGTGTTTTATGGCAAGTATATGTTTTATAATTAGGAAAACTAAATACTAAGTAAACAGATAAATGCAAGAGATATTTCTTGTGGTATATCTAAATATGCAAAAAAAAGTTTAAAGAGGATGAGAGGAAAAACACTCATAAATTGACACTCCAAGAATCAATTCTGTGTATGTGTGTTTTTCTTATACAGTTGGTTGTTTTTTTTGTCTTTGTCTCATTTCAGGGGCAGGGTTGGCAGAAGTTACGTTTCAGAAGCTTCTGGGTGAAAGTTTATGTATGAGTATAATGGCAATATCCCTGAAGTGGGACTCAGAAGATCTGGAATCTAGGCTCAGAATTGATGTTAACTTCACTCTATCTCTATTTTAGATTTTTCTTGTATAAAATGAGGAGTTTGAGAAAACTCTTGACAAGCTATGTATTCCTTTAAGCCATAGGTAGATTTTAGAATTGAAATAAACATTATCTGTCATATTTTCAGAAAGCTACCTGCTGTTTGTTATTTCATACTTGTTGGGGGAAAACTGGGGTACTGGCTCTAGGACTGGGGTTCTATAATGAGCCATATTTGGGGATTGGGACTAACTGGTATCAGCACCCATCCCAGTGTAACACATCTCAAGCATAATGGCCACACCTTTGTCATCTGAAAGTGATATTTTTGGTTAGTGTGCTTTTTACTAATGACCTGTCTCCAGCAGTAGAAATAGTAGTTCCCTAGGTGGCATGTATTTTACTCTGTCAAATTTGAGTTGTGTCTGTTTTGAAGCCACTTACTTCATACCTAAAAGTTTTATGGCTTGTTAATTCTTTTTCTTGTTTTTATTATTCATCTTCCAGACCTCTTCCCGTGCCAAAACTGCCGCCTGGGGAGCAGTGTGAGAATGAGGAGGACACAGAGTATATGACTCCCTCTTCTAGGCCTCTCCGGCCTCCGGACACAACCCAGAGTTCACGGTAGGTTCACAACTCCCTGTTTTGGGCCAAATACCTTTTTGTGGGTAGTTCAGTTGACGTCCCTCACCTGCTTGGCTTGCTAATTACACATGGTGTTACTCAGCAAGATTAAAGGAGAAAGATAAATCTAGCTCCTAATGTTGAAGCCCCTCCTGTAAGCAGTTCCACTTACGTTTTCTCAACATAACAGTAAGCTCAAATACACACACATCTATCACTCGTCGCAAGAGTTGATGTCAGGCCGGGCACGGTGGCTCACGCCTGTAATCCTAGCACTCTGGGAGGCTGAGGCGGGCAGATCATTTGAGCTCAGGAGTTCGAGACCAGCCTGAGCAAGAGTGAGACCCCGTCTCTACTAAAAAAAAAAAAGAAAGAAATTAGCTGGACAATTAAAAATATATAGAAAAAATTAGCCGGGCATGGTGACGTATGCCTGTAGTCCCAGCCACTTAGGAGGCTGAGACAGTAGGATTGCTTGAGCCCAAGAGTTTGAGGTTGCAGTGAGCTAGGCTGAGGCTACAGCACTCTCTAGCCCCAGGCAACAGAGTGAGACTCTATCTCAAAAACAAAAAGAGTTGATGTCAGGACATTTATCAGTGATACTGGCAAAAGGAGAATATGAGTCTTAATGAGTTTGCAGATAACAGAGTTCTATTCCTGAAGATCATTATGGCACTTTCTTTCCGGTTCAGAGCATGTGATTGTGACCAGCAGATTGATAGCTGTACATATGAAGCAATGTATAATATTCAGTCCCAGGCGCCACCCGTCACCGAGAACAGCACCTCTGGTAAGTAGTCCCTCTACCACCTTAAAAATCATTGATGTGCCATAGGAATGAGCCTGTAATATTTGGCTAATGAGATAGCTTGATCTAAGCAGGAAATTCTTTTTAATAATCTTCTTTGGCAAAGTATCAGTGATCCATGGACAGTAAAGCCCCTCCTGTCTTTTAATTTCTGTTCACACAGGTAGTTCCTTTTGTACTTTTCAGTCTTTCCAGGGCCTGGAGACATTTCTGTTGTATGGCTTGGATCTGCAGTGCTGGCATCTTCCTTTTATTCTCATTGCATTGATGAAATTCTTTTGTGTGGGGGTGGTAAACACTCAGTTCCCACGTTAACTAGCTTACCAAGTTGAACGTTCAGGAAACTTGCACTCACTGGGCCCTTTGCTGGTCATGCGAGGTGAAATGTAGCTGAAAGTGTTGGGTAAATGCTATAAAATGGCGTTTGAGTCTTTGGCATCAGTGGCTATTAACCTTGGAGCAGGGTAACCTTTGACATGTTCAAAAAAAAGAGCTGCAGGATTGGTGCAGATTTTTTTTCTGCTTCTTGTATCTCTATCTACAGGGCCTCACATGGTGTTTGGCCCACAGTAGACATTCGGTAACTGTTAATGGATACCCCTATATTGACATGTGTTAGAAGACGAAGTGTGGCCGGGTGCGGTGGCTCACGCCTGTAATCCTAGCACTCTGAGAGGCCTAGGCGAGCAGATCATTTGAGCTCAGGAGTTCGAGACCAGCCTGAGCAAGAGCCAGACCCTGTCTCTACTAAAAATAGAAAGAAATTGTCTGGACAACTAAAAATATATCGAAAAAATTAGCCAGGCATGGTGGTGCATGCCTATAGTCCCAGCTACTCGGGAGGCTGAGGCAGGAAGATCGCTTGAGCCCAGGAGTTTGAGGTTGCTGTGAGCTAGGCTGAAGCCACGGCACTCTAGCCCGGGCAACACAGTGAGACTCTGTCTCAAAAAAAAAAAAAAAAAAAGAGAAGACGAAGTATGTCAGAAGAAGAAGATAACTTCGCAAACTTTTCTCCAGGTGAAGGGAATTTGGCTGCAGCCCATGTCAGCACTGGCCCTGAGGAATCAGAAAATGAGGATGATGGGTATGATGTCCCTAAGCCACCTGTGCCGGCAGTGCTGGCCCGCCGCACTCTCTCAGATATCTCTAATGCCACCTCCTCCTTTGGCTGGTTGTCTCTGGATGGTGATCCCACAACAAGTGAGTCTGGCATTTGTCCTGAGTAGCTGTGTGTCTCCTAATTTACAGTGAAACATAATATTTAGTACACTAAATATTATGTGTAAATGGGAGGAAAGTCCCCAATTAGGAAGTTAAATTAGTCAAACTCTTCAGGATTTTATAGACTTAGAAGTGAGATTGTTCTTTCAATTATATTGCTCCTCCTGTGCTGGGGGTGGGTAGGATTTATAGCTCTTCTGAGTCCGCCTGTGATAGTGGTAATTAAGCCTGAGGGTTCGGAACACACATCCCTCTTTCCTGGGCCCCATCCTGTTGGAAAGGAGGCATGTTGGCTCTGAAACTCATGCTGGATGGGCCTGGAGCCAGCTCGAATTGGGCCTTGACTACTGGGGCTGTGTTCTCCTTGCACCTGTGGCTGCCTGGTAGAGCAGCAGCCAGAGTTGCTGTCCCTTTGGAAATTGAAGACAGCCTTCAGGACAGCTGGTGAAAAAGATATACAGCATCCTGTTGCCCAAATGGGTGGTGATCCCCACCCAACCTTGGCTAATGTTCTTCACTACAACTTAGGCTTATTTCTATCTTTTTCCTTATTTGTAGAAAGCAAAGTTTAGTATCTTCTCTGGTCCCCTCAGAATTTTTTTTTAATAATCCAGACAATTATGTGTGCGGAAACTTGTTGCTAAGTGTTAACACATGATGCAGATGTTATGTGCTTGTGAAAGCAATGGTTATTGTTAGTAGAACAGATGCATGTTATATTTAGAAGGTTGCTCCTACTGTGATAAGAAGGGGAGGCTATATCCTAAACCCTTGAACCTGTAAAACCTGGCCTTGTGACTGAAGAGCACACGCACCTGGTTGACGGGAGGTCAATAATATCTTGATATTAGCACATTGTTATTATTACTGCCATTAAATGAGGATTTCGCCCCAGATTTGCAAATATTTTCTTTCTTATTTCTTCTAGACTCTACTGAGGGCTCCCAAGTTCCTGAGAGGCCCCCTAAACCATTCCCTCGGAGAATCAACTCTGAACGGAAAGCGGGGAGCTGTCAGCAGGGTGGCGGTGCTGCTGCTTCTGCCACCGCCGCTGCTTCGCCGCAGCTCTCCAGCGAGATCGAGAACCTCATGAGTCAGGGCTACTCCTACCAGGACATTCAGAAAGCTTTGGTCATTGCCCACAACAACATTGAGATGGCCAAAAACATCCTCCGGGAATTTGTTTCAATTTCTTCTCCTGCCCACGTAGCCACCTAGCACACTACCTCCTGCTGCAGCTTTAGCGGACCGGTGAGCTGGGAGCTCTTATCTAGCACCTGGAAGGGCAGGGTTTCCTTTGGAGACTTCACAGTGAAGTCTTGCCCTCTCTGTGGGATAGATATCACATCTGTGGTTCCAAGATTTCAACGCAGTGGAATGAAAATGGAGCAGCTAGTATGTTTTATCATTTTATAGGTCTTGAGAGTGCATTTGAGGGTGTCCTTCAGTCCCCATTGAGAGAAGGTGTGGATTTTGTTACATGGTAGTCTACCTAGGGAACAGTCCAGAAAGCCGTAGAATAAGTATTGTGCTGTAAATCCTAATTGAAGACTTAAGACTTTCCTGGGTTAAGGATGTGGCCATGTGTCTGTCTGTCTGCCTGTGGTTGTGTGTGTCCTTGTGATTATAGGATTAACCTGCTGTGCGTGTTAATCCCAGGCAGGGAATTAGCACAAGAGGTTTAGGAAGGAATCTTTTAAAGACTTCCATCTACTGTGGTATTATACCCGACCCTAGTGTGTGTTACAACTTCAACACTCCCCTTTGGCTTAGATTATCCTGTGCATAGCTAAAGTCTTATATTTTTAGAACACCCTCCCTCTGTTCTTTCCCCTATCAGCTCCTTCCTCCTCCTCCTCCTCCTCCTCCTCGGTGTTCTGTCATTGGCAGTGGGCTTGCTGTGACCAGCCTTACTGAGGCCAAGGAGCTTATGGGATGTTCTTTATTATGTGTGATGGTGTTGGTTTGTTTGGTAGATAGATGGGAGGAAAAGTACTGTTGTTATATCATTATAGTCATGTTTGATACTAGGAGCTAACACTGGTCACTCCAAAGTGCTGTTTCTATAGGAACATTGAATTTGTTAAGATACTTTAATTATCCTAATTACATAATGCCTGATTTGAGATAGAGGCCTTCAAATACATTCCATGCCCTCCCCAGAAAATAGCCTGTGGGAGTATGTTGCCTTGGTGCCAGGTATGTGTTCTGATGTAGGTCATGAGTCTTTCTACTTAATGGGAAGGGAAGAACATTTGTTCCCAGGATGACTTTCTGGCCCAAATACCATGAAGTTTTTAGGAAGCTTCATTCACATGCTATTTAAATGCACAAAACAGATAGTAAGGATTTATCCATTCATTTTTTTCTTCCCTGTGAATTAATTTTAATTTATAGGGTGTCTTCCTTTGAAAATGAACCAGATTAGATTTTCAGAAATAATTTTTTTCTTTGCCCTTTATGGAATAGGGATAACACCCATGGTAGCACAGCATTTTGCTAATAATTAGCACCTTTCCTACATTGGTGCCACCCAGTGACTTGGTTTTCTTTTGCGCCTGTGGCTGTGGAAATGTAATGTCTGTTTCCTCCTTTACTTCCCCTTTCCTCTTCACTGTAGATCCTATATACTCTCTTAATTGCTGTGTCCTTCATGGTAATTAGACATCATTCAGTGAATAAATTACTTCACTGTAGTCAAAGACAATATGGGAAAAGGCTGGCATTTTGTGTAATTGCAAGTTCATAAAGAAGATTTCGAGTCCAGTTTGGAGACCCAATTAGTCAGTTACTTTAGATACTAATAAATGATCCCTTGAGTTCAGTTAGTTCTCTGTCCAGAGCCTTTTGCCGACTTCCCTAGCAGTGTGTAACCTTCCTCCACGTCAGAAGCAAGCCTGCCCTTTGATAAATCTGCCTTCCTCAGAATCTAAATCATGCTTTCATCTTCAGATCCAGACAGAAATTGACAACACTCCCCCAGCCCCCCCCCATCAGTTTTCTTTCCAGTCTTGTCATCTTTGGGGTTTCAACGTGTTCTAACTCCTCTCTTGGCATTCAGCTACTCCAGGATCTTTTGGTTTTATCATCTGGCTTCAGAGCCATTCATATTCCCAGAGTAGATGGTACGGGACCTTGCATTGATTTGCCATGGATACCTGGTGTCTCCTCTATAGGTAGAAAACAGCGTAACTGGCCAGGCGAGGTGGCTCACGCCTGTAATCCCAGCACTTTGGGAGGCCGAGGTAGGAAGATCACTTGAGGCCAGGAGTTCAAGACCAGCCTGGGTAACATAATGGAGCCCATCTCTATGAAAAATAAAAACATTAGCTGAGCCTTGTAGTCCCAGCTACTCGGCAGGCTGAGGCGGGAGGATTGCTTAAGCCCAGGAGTTGGAGGTTGCATTGAGCTATGATGACACTGCTGCACTCCAGCCCAGGCAAAGAGTGAGACCCTGTCTCTTTAAAAAAAAAGAAAGAAAAGAAAAGAGAACTGCAGAGCCCACCATCAGGTGCGGAGGTCCTGGGTTGAGGTGGAGTAGGGGCAGGGGGAAGTGACAGTGAGTAGGAAACAATAGACTGTCATCTACTTCTAAAAGCCTGTATGTATAGAGTTTCATTTGAGGTGACATTCAGTTTTGCATTTTATCTAAATATTGAAGGCCCAGACAAAGAATTGGGAAAAAATGGCAGCGGTTTCCAGACCTATCCATATTGTAATTTTTCTTTCTCTGCAGATATTGCCCAAACTTGAAGATCTATCAAGAAGACAAAGCACTGGCTGCATATCTTTTGCCTTTTCAGGGCATCCAAATCTTCCGTGGAGATGATTGCCCATGCTGTATAGGCTAAAGGCAGTTTCGTCTTTTCCTTTCCTAGCTGAGTACCAGGTGGCTCTTGGGAGTCAGCCCTGAAACTGAGGTTCCATTGCCTGGTGTTGGGCATGTTCATGGGTGATGGGCTTAGGCATTAGTTCAACAGATGTGTATCTGTGGGCATTCAAGGTTTTGGACCATTTCGTGAGGGTCTCTCCTTTGACCGGTCGCTCTGAGGACACACCTAGGTCCATGCCTTAGATTGCCAGGGAAGCCTTAGGAAGGTTTTGACGTGGCTGTTGTTTTGAGGATATTCTCAAAAGTTTACATTTTCCTTTGACTAAGGCACCAGTAACCAATTCTTTATTCTCCATTTGTATGATAATTTTCAATTCTTTGGCTCTGCTCTGAATTTAACTAAAATTGCCCTTTTGTGAACAGGCTTTATTTTGAGTTTTGCCATTTTGGGCAAACCCTTCCGCCTCCTAATTACAAATGATTGATAAGGTCAAAAAACACACTTTGATGTTCTCCTTTTTCTCCTATTCGTCAGGCATATTATTCAGCCCCATTTCCTGCTTTCCCTGTGTCTTCCTGGGTTGTGTTACACAACCTGCCTGCCTCATCACAAAGCGGCACCCAGGACTGGACTTCTCTAGCTGCCCCTCCCATTCACCTTCCACTGAAGTAAAGGGTTCTTAAAGTGGAAGAAACCTGTAGGCTCTATGATATACCTCCCTGTAGTTAAATAATAGACCAGGCAGTTTATCATCTCAGCATGTATATGTTAATATTTATGTATTAATAAATAGCGATCTCTACCTGTGGATGACCATTCTCTTTTGCTAGCCTTCTCTCCCCTCCAGCTCTCACTCTACATAATCTGCCGCTCTTCTGTTCTCTTTTTCTTTTTTTATTTCAATTTTTTAATTTTTTAATTTTGTTTTTAGAGACAAGGTCTCACCATGTTGCCCAGGCTGGATTCAAACTCCTGGGTTCAAATGATCCTTCTGCCTCAGCCTCCCAAGTGGTTGGGATTACAGGCACATGCTACTGTGTTCTTTCTCTCCCTGCAGACCCTCATCACTAGGGCCCAAGGTGTGGGATAGTACTTGTTAGTATCATTTAGCTGTTTTGTGGGTTAAAGAAAAGACACGGAGGGTTGCTGTTCTTCATACTTAAAATATTTGTTTCCTCTATAGAACTGTAAAATGTGTTTTTTGGTCCAAACAGCAAACTTACATACGAATTTTTATAACAAAACTTGCTTGTAAAAATTAGGGACCAGCTATATATTCACTTTAAGATCTAGTCCTTTTTGTAGGCGATCAGCAGTGGTGTTAATGCAGAATATTTTCCTACCTCACATCATGAAAATTCAGAAGGTTACAAACCTTCTTCCCAAACTGTAAGTCTCCCTTCTTCTATTGGCCTTTCAGACCCTAGAATGACCACTGTCCATTGAATAACAGCATTCTGGCTATTGGCCTGGCTGTGACAGTTTGTTCATTCAGCAAATGTTTATGAGTGATTACCATGTGCCAGAAATGTTAGCTGTATTCTTCCTGCCACCACATTGTACTTTACTGATGCTGGGGAATTGTACTTGGGCTGTCTTAGCATTTGCATTTGACCCTAAAATAACTCTTCCCAATAAGATTGTGCGATTTCTATTCGCAGCTCTTTTTTGTAGACTCACCGTTTCCTTATAGAGCTGTCCTCATTAGAATCAGGCCAAGACTCTCCCGTTAACCCCTATTATCTTCCTATAGCTTTGTGTCTGGGAGATTCCTTGGTGTAAGGCTCATGGGTGCCCACCATTGTTACGTATCTCAGTGGAATCCATTTGGTGGGTTGAGGGGTTGGTTGGCTCAAGAGTCGCACAGTAGGGCATTAAATGTTGGAGCCACGCATCTGCCACAGTCCCTTTTCCCCCAGTTGAGTGCCTTCCTTGATCTTTTTACTGAGCTGCTTGTCCCCCTGATCCCCCATGTTGGGCAGGTTTCCTTACCGCCCTTCTGGAACCTGTCACCATCTCCCATACTATTTGGAATTTGTTTTCCAGTCTTTCAACAAACTTCGCAGCTAATTCTGTGTTTCAGAAGGGCTGGAGGTGTGGGGGAGGGGTGGGCGCCTGCCTTTGGATCCTGATCTTTGATCAGTTATTTGGCCTTCCAAGAGTGAGACAGTAGCGGAGATTGAACTCAGTCAGTTCTCTAAATGTCTTTACCTCCCAGAGTGGGGAGCTTAGTGTCAACACATCATTCTACTAGACCTTAAAGCTTTAGAAGTTCAATCTAAAGTATTCTACTAACTCGGCATAAACCTTTACGGTTGCTACTTGATCTCAATCTGCACTAGCAATCTTTCTTTAGGAATGCATATGACCACTTAATGCACAGAAAAGGGTGGAAGAAGGTTGAGGTTGTGTTTTTGGCTGTCCTGGTTAGGGATCCTTTGGATACAAGAATCAGAAATGTTAAAGCTAAAAACGGTGGGGGGTGGGGGCAGTCAAGGATGCAGGGTATCTCATGGCACCCCAGATGGGAAGTACAGTGGTTCTTGCATGGAGCTGGAACTGCAAACTCTGTGCTTTTCCTTTCTCCTGCTTCACAGCCTGTTTATCAACATGTGTGGTCCCCAAGTAAGCACCCCAATCCTCAGGTCCACACGACTTTCCAACTCCAGGGATTACCACAAACAGATTTCCAATTCCTCATAGCTCATATTCTTAAGAAAGACAACACCGAGCCCAGCACGTGATCAGGTGTCCTCCCCGACCAGTCTGCCTTGCCAAGGAGCGCAGAGACACGACAGGCACAGTGCGGGCAGCAGCAGCTCCTTCAGCTGGGGGAGCAGGAATTTCTCAGAGAAGAAAATAGAGGCTCCCTAGACCTCCCCCCCTAAAAAGACTTCTTATACTAGAAGTAAAGCTGCTCTTGTCCTGCTTTTTTGAGAATGGAAAGGCAGGCATGGGAGTGTGTCTGGGACATTGAGAAAATTCTTATTCCCTATTTTTCTTCCCAATACCAGTCTTGGCATCCAAGATTTCTTACCTCCCTCTTTAGGACCAGTTTGTCCTGTTCTGGAGCAAGTCTGTTCCTGGGTGGCATTCCTTAGCCTCCATTCAACCTCAGGTCTTTAGCCTTCTTTCGTGTTCTTCAGAGAGCAGAATCTAATAACGGATTCCACTGTAGCCACTACCCACATGCTTCTGGCTTCTCTTCAGGTTTTAATGCTGAAAGTATATTCATTCTGTGGGCTCGTGGCCCGTCTCCTCCGTACCCTGCTCCTCGCCCTCTCATTTGTCCCTTCCTGTGTGAGGGGAGCTCTGCAGTAATGTTCTTAGACAGGCCTTCCTGGGTACCTCAGAAACTACTTTGCCAGAGCTAGCAAGGATATACGATAGTTGGGGCAGTTGCCAGGATAGAAATTAAATGTAGATTTCCGTTTAGAGTTTTTACTCATGACTAGACAAGATACCTGGGTCTTTCCTGGCCAATTGCTTTCATTTTAGTCCTATACTAAAACTTTTATTTTTTGGTTTTTTAAAAACAACACTTCTGCTTGCCTCAATCTTTTATATTTCTCTCATCCTAGATCCTGTCCTGAGTTGTAAGGCATTTCATACTGCCTTACTTAAAACTTTTTTAAAACTACTAGTCATTTGATACACACAGAAGTAACCTAATAATCCAAAGATACACATTGAGGCACATGAGGGAGGGTGGGTCGTCAGACTTTGCATTTGATATTCTAGTCTAGGCTCCTGAATTGAGCAGAGGGACAGCAGTGCCATGTGCCTTCACAGTGTCCCAGGAAATCTAGGTTGGTTCCAAGGGGAAGTACCAGTGTGTTTCTAGGTTCTGGGAAATAGCACAAGAGTAAGAGATGGGAAGACAGGGACGGGAGCGCAAGCCCTGCGCATTCATTCAGAGTCTGACGGAAACAGTGGGGAAGGGCCAGTTGTTGACTACCAGACTAACAGCTGTTTGGAGATCTTGCTGCCCCTTCCCTGCTACAGTGCTTGAGAAAATATGGCTGACCACTCCCTGTGTTTGTGCAGAGCAAAGGCCTAAGCCAACCTCAGATCTCCTACTGTTTGGGCAGCAGAACAGATCAGAGTTCTGATTGCCTAGCCCCATATCCTGATGCAGTCCCAAAAATGAATGAGAGAGGCCCTCCACATTGCTTCTCACAAGTTCTCCTTCAACTCCTGAGCCAGACGGGAGGCCAGAGAGGAGTATTGCTCAATACGTGCTGTGTGCAACTCCTTAGGCCTTGCACCATTTCCATGCTCCGGCCCAGAAGCGGGGTGTACTGGGTGCCAATGTGTCAGCTCCCTCCTCCCTCCCTACCTCTGACCCTGTTACGGGTGAGGGTAGCCATGCTCATGGCTGTCTTAAAACTTAAAAGTCAGAGAACTACTTCTGAGTCTGTAGGCCACATGCTCTCTTCCACGGCCGCTCTGCTGCTGTCTGGGGGGGTGAGCTGCAGTGCCCGTGAGAGTGGATGCCCCCTGACCCACCCTGCTCAGCACTGTTCTAGGCCTTGGAAGAAAAGCCTCACTTCCTGCTGAAACACATGGTAGGGGCATGGCAGCTATGAGGTACCTCCTACATCTGCTTTCTGGCTGTGGTAACTTGGGATTTTTAACCTTATATATCTTTTTCCTTTATTCAAAACAAAACAATTTTTAGCACACTGAAAAAAAAAAAAAAAGCCAAATGTTTTGTGCCTTTCTAAGGCAGCACTGTATCCCAGGCTGCATTTTAGGACTTAATATGGAAATACCAGAGTCTGAGCTCCTCTACCTTCAGTGTCATTGGTCCCTAGAGTCTAGAGGACAGGAAGGAGTGCTCTCCGTGACTGGAGAGGTGGCATGCAGGTACAGTGTGTCAGTGGTCCCTTTTCCCTGCCATGATGCTTCATTGAAAGAAGGAAGCATTATACCCTGGGACCATTGGGCGGTTCCCAGTCAGAAGCTTAGTTGTCAGGTTGAATGCTTTGTCTCCTGCAAGAAGAGACAGATGTTCCCCGTTTCCAGGTATACTCTGGACCATTCCAGCATCCCAGCCTCCTGGTCATATATTAATTACCCAGCTACATGGAGAAGTGTAGGATGGACTCCTGAGAAGGGGAAGTGGTTCCTTTGTTTGTCTTCTTTTTGCTGGATCCTGCACTGGTCTAGACCTCCTGCCTCCTTTCAGCAGACGTGGCTTTCCTTTCACTTGAAGGCTTCAGACTTAAAGCATTAAGCAGCTAGTGCCCTCTGAAGGGTTTGGTTTTCCCCAGGGAAGGGCAGCAAGGAGCACGTACCAGAGCCTATCTGTCCTCAGTATTGTGACCATGGTAGGTTTTAGCAAAAAAGAAAAAAAAAAGTTTTCTGTATAATGACATTTTACTTATCTCTTACCCTTTCCTCAGTTTTCCCCTGCCTTTAACTAATTAAAGACTTGGGCGAGAGAAACAATTCTTTTTAAAGTCCTCCTTATTCAAGATTTTGACATTCTTGGCCCAGGTGGGGCTGGAGAGAACTGGATGCTTTCTCCAGAATGAAGAGTCCTAGTTTGTATATCAGTGTTAAGAAAACAAAACAAACACTTAGATGAGATTTTCATGGACTATTTTAAAAATGTGTCATTAATATAAAAAAATTTATATTAGCAGTATTTAATCATTCTCACCTGTAAAGAATAAGAAAAACAGAAGGTAAATATTCTTACAGAGAATAGCAGAGCTTTAAGATTCATTTTCATTTTAAGTCCATTTTGTTTTGCCAATGTATTAATGTTTAGAGGTCTGTTATACTAATGTTATTTATTAATTTTTTCATTTCCATACACAGTTAACTAAAGAGCTTTTTCAAGCACCCATGTCTGTAAAAAATATTTTTAAATAAAGTTTCTTTTGTTGTAGCAGACTTGCGTTCTTGCTCATTGGGGCGGGGTGGGGGCTGTGACGACGGTGGCAGGGTGATTCGCAGGGTAGCTGTAGGACCACATGCCACAGCCGTTTCCTCATCACAGTGAGTCTGTACTGCTGCCTCCAGGGCAGTGCTGAGTGACAGGCAAGCATAGGCCTGCAGGCCCTACCAGCTGCCTAGAGCAGGGCAGCTACACTGCTAGCTAGAGTGACCACCCTCTGTGCTGGAGAGCTGGAACCCTTTGCTCGGAGCAGAGGTGACCCCTGGCCCTTGCTACCAACTGCAAAGGCTTTAGTATTACTTTTGGTGCGGTTGTAATTCCAGAGGCCCCCAGTTTCCTTTGGTACCCATGATGAATAAAAATCAATGTAAGATTTCTGGGACAATTAAGCTTTATTTTTCATATATATATAAAAAGGAAACAATTTGCAAATTTACACACAACCTAACAAAACCACATATATATACACACAGACACACACGTGCGCGCGCACACACACACACCACCCCCAAAGCTCTAGCCAGTTTCCTGTTTCTCATCCCTAAGTACCATTCTCCCATTTGGGCCCTTCTAGGGTCTGGGCCCATTAGCTCTGTTTGTAGAAGTTTGGTGCTAACATAACTGCGGCCTTATTCCCCATAAAGGACAGTCTGGATTTCATCTTTGTCTATTACCCCCACCTCTCAGTCTTAGTGACCTTTTGAAAGGCCACTGGTAGCCAAGTGACTACAAGGGGCTCGGGCTCATTCGCCTTGACTCAAAACCAGTGCCCGGCTTCCTCACTGCAGGGACAAATCTTTTAAGGAATGTCACCAGTTCCTGGCTTCTGCCCAATGAAAAAATCACAAAAGAGTCTCTGGAGAGGCAGACAGGAAGGTGGCAGCAGCAATACTGCAGCTGCTTCTAGACCCTGCGGGGCTGCTCTCCAGAGCAGTGTAAGCGGCAGGTGCCTGGGCTCGCGTGCATCCTCCCGTGAGTGGTGCGACTGAATTACCGCAGCCGGCCTTTGGGGCAGGGAGCCAGGTCGCAGAGGCCATCCAGCTCAGTTGCTGGTGGAAGACAGGTATTTACAGCCATATGTGTAGTGTAAAGAGAAAACACGTTCTGCAAGAAACTCTCCTACCCGAGAGACTGAGGCCCCCTCCTTGGGGTGAGCTTCCCTCAATAAATGGAGACATAGTGGATTGGTCCCTGGAAACGGGGCCTCCAGGGTGACGTCCTTCTCAGGACAGCTCTGGCCCTAGCTCACTGGCCCTCTGAAAAGGTCTGCAGGTGAGCTGGAGCAGGGGTCTTCTCTGCAGTCCCTTTGGAGGCTTCGGCTGGGAGAAGAGTGAGCAGGGAGCTGGGAACGTTCCAGGCAGGGAAGGGAGCTGAACGTGATTCAGTGGCTAATGCCTCAGATCGATGTATTTCTCTCCCTAAAAGCGGGTGGAGAGGAGAAGTAAGAGGGGAACGTGGCGACAGTGCTCAGAGTTGAAGGTGTGAGCACTAAGAGGAAGGAGGGATGGAAGCAGAAGCTGATGAACTTGCGGCAGCCTTGAGGGAAGAAGCAAGGGATGGGACGGTAGGCCGGGGAGGGAGGGGCAGCCCCACATCTGGCTGTGCTGGTGAAACGGAGGCCACGCCTCGCCCAGTGCCCAGAGCCCCGGGCATTGTTCAGGAAAAGTGATGGTGGAGGGACAAGGTCTTTGCTCTCTTTCTTCAGGGTCTCTTAGCCACTTGCCTCGCCCTGCCATCTGTGAGTTGTGTTAAGAAGGCAAGATGGGGCCTGCTCCCTACCTCAACAAAGAGGGATGAAGGATGGGAAGAGTTAGAACCGTTAGCCCTGCTGCCCCGGTCCCTGAAGATGTGTCAGGCACTGGCCACAGGAGCCGCCTCCTACCTGGTCTCCTGGAGCCCTCTTGTCACCGTTGCTGCCCTGTAGGAGGCCCATCTCTTCTGGGAGCTTATCTGACTTAACTTCAACTACAAATTCGCTCTTACGAGACGGGGGCAGCGTGCTGGGAGAAGGGAGGGAGGCGAGAGGTTGGCACCTCAGGGGCAAGGGAAGGGGAGGGCCCGTTAGGAAGGACATGGGTGGATGATGGGCTCTCTGGTGCTCTGGGGCCAGCTCAGGGCAGGGAAGGAGAAAGGAGATGTGGTTGATGGAAGCTGGACAGTGGGCAGTAAGGTGGGGAGCAACCCAACCCAGCATCACACTCCGACTCCTAAGGGGCGAGTGGGCTCTGGGGCAGGTGGGGAATGTCCCTGAGGAGGCAGCAAGCTGGGTGGCAGGTGATGGGGAGCTGGGGGAAGGGGGCCAGCGCCGTGCTTACATCTCCTGTTTGCCTGAGCGCCCGCACGGCAGCTTGCCCTTCTTGTAGAAGAAATAGAGGACGGCGCCCAGCACGGCCAGGACCAGGATGCACACGGTCACAGCCACGATGACCACGCCCTTGCTCTCCGGCTCTGGCAGCTTCTTCTCTGTTCCACAAAGACAGTCCTACTCACCCCCTGCCCTGGGCTGCCGGGTCGCCATCGCTGCCCCACCCAGCCCAGGGCTGAGAGAAGATGGGCCGCTACTCACCTTCCTCAACAGGGCCCTCTGGGGAGGGAGGGATGCCCTGGCACAGCCCTGCTCTCTCGCCAGGCCTGGCTTACCTGTGGAGGTGCTGTTGGCTCTGGCATGAGGACTGACCGTGGAAGAGCTGAGGCCAGTGGTTTTGCTGGAGTCTGGTGTGAGGGTGGTTAAACTGACTAAGAGGCAGAGGGAGGTGGGTTAGGAAAGCACAAGTTAATGCCCGTGCCTGGGCGTGGCCCCTGCCATGCTCTGCAGGGATGCGGCCCTCACCCAGCTCCAGGAAGAAGATGGTGGTGTTTTTGCCCAGGGAGTTCAAGGCCGTGCATTCCGCGCCTGTCTCCAACAGCTCTGGCGTCACGAGGACGTTCAGGGTGCTCAGGACACGCTGAGGATCCTGCTCTTGTTCACTTGCCTGCGAGGAAGTGGGCAGCTCAGGGGGTGGGGAGATCTCCGGTCCCGGTGGCAGAGCCTGGGCAGGGATTAGCAAGCGCATGGCAGCCGAGACTGCTCACCGTGCCGTTGACGTTCCAGGAGATGATGGGCCGAGGATGTCCGGACGCTTCACAAGACAGATTCCACGCTGCATTCTCTTTCACCCACACCTTCCTCTCCTTGAACGCCATCCTCGGGGGCCCTTGGGGAAGTAGGTGAGGGTCAAGCGGCAGACTGGGCTAGCCTAGCGCCCCCTCCCGACCAGAGCACCCCAGGACAGCAGATGGCTATTTGTCCTCAAAGAGCTTAAAACCACCTTACTTGGGGTGACCTGGTCTCTGCCCAGAGGGGCCTTACCAAAAATGGCCACGTTGACCAGCTGTGTGCGGTTCAGGCCGGGGACGCTGGGCACGGAGGCCACGCAGCGGTAGCCTCCCCCTGCCTCCCGCTTCAAGTTGTGTAACTGGAGCGTAGGCCCTGTTTCCAGCACCTGGCCTGTCTGGGGTTGAGAGACGGGTCAGAGGGTCTGGGAAAGAGCAAGCTGTTGCCACCCCCAGCCCTCCCCACCCGTCAGCCCCTTGCCTCTCAGCCACAACCCCAGACCCTCCTGGTACCTTTTCTCTGAGCCACTGGAACTCAAGGGCCTCATTACTCTCTGCCTCACAGGTCAGGGTGAGGCTGCCACCTTCCTGGCTCTCAGGGGCTGTGGGACTCACTCGGACATCAGACACATCTGGGGGCACAGTACTAGTGTCAGCCTGGGCAGGGCGGGGCCAGTTCCCTATTGCCCCAGCCCAGCCCCTCTGTCCTGGGCCTCCAGCCCCTCACAGTTCACCAGCAGCTCCTGCGGTTCACTCAGCAGCGATGCCATGGTTTGCAAGTCCAGGCCCTGACATTCATAGAGCCCACTGTGTTCCTTCTGGGCGGGCTCCAAGACCAGGACCCCGCTGTCGTTGATTCTCTGCTCCTCCATCTCCCTGGTGCTGGGGTTCTGGGGGAGATTGGAAGGGTGAACAGAGCCTACCCCCAGCCCCTCCACCCGGGTCTCTGCCTGCACCCTGTCTGCACCCAGCACAAAGCCCGCCGCACCTGCTTGCTGATGCTAAAGTGGGGCGGGGGGTTGCCATCCGCCAGACACCTGATTTCCACGTGGTCTCCTTCCTTCAGCACTCCCATGGGCTCCACTTCCAACCACACTTTCTCCGTCGGGTCTGCGCAGGCAAAGGGGGTCGCTCTCAGCCTAAGAGTTGCCCCTGGGCTGGATGAGGAGGGGCCCCCGGGAGTTTCCAGCAGGCCCAGCCCTGGTGAGCCGAGGGCCAGGCGAGTACTCACAGAAAACGGGAACACTGACTTCCCTAGACTCCTTCATGTGGTTCCCACTGGGCAGCCGGTAGTTGAGCTCACAGTAAAACCGGGAGTCTTTGTCCTCCTTAACCAGCTGCGCCTTCAGAACACTCTGCAAGGTGTACAACCCACTCGACTCCACGGTCTGGGACGACTGAATGTGGACCCCTGGGCAGGGAGGAGGGGGGAAAAGGCTCGGCCTCAGCCCCACCTCCAACCCCACCAAGGACAAATGCAAGCTGGAGACCCTTCAACCCAGCATTCTTACTTGGCAAAAGTATCTACCTTCAGTATCTACCGTAGAAAAACATTTGCACATTGGCACATACACAAGGATGTGTGCAAAGAATGCAAAAGTGACCAAGAAAAACGAAAAACCCTCTAGACACCCACTAATGGGGATGGTTAACTAACCCACATCATAGACATAGCGTGGAAAACTCAGCAGTGGGTGAAACACTCAGATAGATCTTAACCAACTGACCTGGAAAGACTGTACAAAAGAAATTCTAAAACAATGTACACCACCCAATACCACTGAGATCAGGGTTTCTCAACCTCAGCACTATTGATGTCTTGGGCAGGATTAATTCTCTATGTGAGAGCTGTCCTGTGCCCTGCAGGGGTTAGCAACATCCCTGACTTCTACCCACTAGATGCCAGTAGCACCTCCTCTACTTGTGACAACCAAAAAATATCTTCAGACATTGCCAAATATCCCCTCTGGGGGAGGGGTGCAAAATCTTAACCCCTGATTAAGAACTACTGATTTAGATAATAAAAAACAAAACCCTATATATTTCTAAAAATATTTATATATATGAGCAAAATACATAGAAATAGGCTTGAAAGAACACACACTGATAGCAGAGGTTACCTCTGGGAGCAGATCTGGGGCAGGAAGAAACTTTTCCTTTTAGATTTTCTATACAGCTTAAATTCTTATGAAAAAATTTTCAAATATCACTTGTGTAATTTTTTTAAAAAGTAAAAAGCTAAAAGAAAAGCATGTATATTTCTAAAAATATTTATATATATGAGCAAAATACATAGAAATAGGCTTGAAAGAACACACACTGATAGCAGAGGTTACCTCCGGGAGCAGATCTGGGGCAGGAAGAAACTTTTCCTTTTAGATTTTCTATACAGCTTAAATTCTTATGAAAAAATTTTCAAGTATCACTTGTGTAATTTTTTTAAAAAGTAAAAAGCTAAAAGAAAAGCATGGCTTTTAAGAGCACAAGGGGCTACTCACGGTTCTTCTCCTCCTTCAGAGGCCGACGGTTCTTGTACCAGATGACTTGAGGAATGGGATAGCCATTCCTCCCCACACAGGTAGCAACCTAAGGAGGACAGGGCGTGAGTCCCCTGCCTCTGAGCCCCCGCTGAGCGCCACCCTAGCTCCTGCTTACCATCTGGCCAGCCCAGCCTCTCTCACCTCCTCGGGCTCCTCACTGTTCACAGGGATGCCCAAGACATTGACCTGGATGTTCGGCTCCTCCGGAGCTTCTGCAAGGGAAGAGGAAGGGGGAGGGGCATGGGACCACCACTTCCCACCACCCACACTACCCCGGAGGCAGGAACAGGGGTGACTCACTGTAGACACGGAGCTGGATGCGGTGCTCCTGGGACCGAGGGCGCTTGCTCTGGCACAGGAAGATGCGCTCATCATGGGGGGTGACTTGAGTCAGGGCCAGAGTGCCCCCTCTGCCCTGGAGGCTGAGCCGGTGCTGGTACTCCCCAGGTTCGCTCTGGCCCTGGCCCTGGCGCACACGGAAGATGAGTGTCGGCTTCTCCTTATGGACCTAAGGGGAAGGGACAGAGAAAAGGTGTGGGTCCTGGGGTACACGAGGGGGTGCCTCCCATCCCCCAGCTGCTCTGTCCCGAGCCCAAGCACTCACAGTAAACCAGTCCACGTGGCTGAGGTTGCCTTGGGAGTGGGAGGCGCCGCACTTCAGAAGGGCCGTGCTGCCCACTTCCACCTCCACCAGCTCAGGCACAGGCCGCTCTGCCTCGCCAGGCACACCTGGGGAGAGGGAGGAGGCGCACCCCCAGCAGCTGTGTCAGCTCCAGCTGCTCTCCATCCCCTTCCCTCCCGGCCCTTGCTGCAGCTGTTCTTCTTGCCACTTGGAGGGTCTCAAGAGGGCCCTGTCCTCTCCTAAACCTCAATCACTCCTTACCCCTCCAACATGGGGCCAGCCCTCTCCCACTCCAGGGGATCCCTGGTCGTTGGAGCAGAGACTGAGCACCACGCAGCTCCCAGATGAGGCTGGCAGAGAGGGGCAACCCAGGCTCTGGGCCAAGGGGAAGGCCCCTGTCCTTCCAGGCCCCCTCCTCTCCCAGTGAGCTCAGAGTGTGGGAATGCAAGCCATGTGCCAGGCTGGGGCACACAGGCCCCTTTGTGTCCCCACCCCCAAGAGAAGACATTGCCACTCTACCTTCTGCCCCTCAAAATCCCTTCCACAAATCCCCCACAAGACCTAGGGGTCCCCCTCTGGACGGAAGCTCCCATCTCTTACTCCCTAAACAGCACCTCAATGAACATTCCACACACATACTCAGGGGACACCATCCTGGGAGTATGGTGAGAATGGAGGGGTCAGAGTCTACCCCAGGGGTCAGGGCAAGGGCCAGGCAGTGGGCAGGAGTGACGTCAGTGGTACCAGCGTGCTGCCAGCCCTGTGGGGAGGTGATGTCACTCGACACCATCTGGCTGGACTCTGGGATGCCTGGGTTGTTGCCTTGGGCTGGCTCTGGGACAAGGGGGGCAGGTGGAGTGGTCTTCAGCCCAGAACAGAGGCCTCGGATCCCTGACCGGCCTCCCGAGAGCTGGACCTGCTGCAGCTGTAGAGCCCGATTTAGCCCTTTCCCCAGAAATAAAGTCAGCCTGGGAGGCAGTACCCTGGAGTACCCCGGGGATACGGCTGACACTGGGCATGAGGCCAGCGAACTGGGTATTGCCTAGCCCGCCCCTTCCCCTGCCGGACAGCGGCCGGGACCAGGGAATGGGAGCCAAGAGAAACACGGGACACCGCTACGGGCCATACAAGGGCAGCGTGGACCCGGCAGCGTCCGCTACTAGGCGGACCCAGAGAAACGCTCCGAGGTGCCCGGGCGCTCTTTCCACCTGAATGTGGTCCCCAAAATAAGCCTGCGGGCGCTTCCACTCTGGTAATCCTCCATCCCTCGTCTCTGCCACCTGTGATCCCGTCAACCGGGGAGGTTCGAGGCGACCCGCACCGCCTCCCCCCACCCCAGCCCCTGCCAACGCCCAGCTCGGGCGGAAGCCACCATCCCTCCCCCTCTCGCTCACCTCCAGCCTGGCGCGATGCCCAGGCGGGAGAGGGAGGAGGGGGGTCGGCGCACCCCCTCCAGCTAAGGACGCTGCCTTTTCCAGCAACAGGCGGGCGCGGAATTCAGGATTTAGGGATGCGCTCTAGCTGCGCCTCGGGCCACGGCTCCAAGTGTGGGCCCCCAGAGTAAACACCTGAGGGACAACTCCCCCCAGGGCCCGAGAGGCTCGGCTCCACCCCTTCCCACTCCCGGCAGCAGCCTCCTCACCGCCTTTCCAGTCCTGCTCCCGGGATACTCTAGAATCAAGGCTGCAAACTGGCTGCAAAGAAGAGGTGCACGCGCGCAAGGCGCCCGGGGATCGGGGACCCGGGGAGGAGGAGCGCCCTCCGGAGCGCAAAGCCTCGACCTCGCCGCGCTGCCGCTCTGCTCCCCAGCACGCTCCGCGGAACACCCCTGTCCGGGCCCTGCGGGGCGCGGGCCCCCAGCGAACTCACTCACCCGCGGCGCGGCGACTGCAGCAGCAGGCGGCGAGCAAGAAGGCGCAGACGAGCCGGAGCAGCTCCATCCTTCCCGGCCGGAGGGCGCGAGCCAAGTGAGCAGCTCGCGGCTGCCGGGGGCTGACGTCAGGGGGGCGGGGGAGGGGGCCCGGAGCGCCAGGGCCCGCCCCGCCCCGCGCAGCCCCCCGCCCCCGCCCCGCGCGCCGCAGCCCTAGGGGGCGGGACCGGCGCCGAGAGCCCCGGAGCTGCGCCCAAGAGCGCCGCGGGAGGAAGGCTGGAGCCGGCCTCCCAGCCCCCGGCTTGGGAAGGCTGAGGGGCCAGTGACAGGTGTCTAGGGGCCGGACTGACTGGCCCAGGCGGCAGCGAGGAGAAGCTGGCCCGGGTGCCCAGAGTCGCCTTGGGTCGCAACCAGCAACGCTCACCCCTGCTCAGTCCGTGTAGCCGTGGGGGACCTCCTGGCGGAGAAGCAGCAGCGGACCAGGTCCTCGGTGTCCTCAAGGGGCCTCCCATTCAGGCTCCTCTCCCCTGCCACAGAGAAATCGGGCCAGCCTCGGTCACTTCCCAGAAGGATTGCACCACTGCGGCAGCCGCCGGCCTGGCACTGCCCCTGAGCCTCCTAGTCCTGGCAGTTTTGGGGGAAGAACTCTGTGCCAGGTTCCGCAGACCCTGAGGTACCTGTTTGGGGAGTGGAGATGGTGCCTTCTGGGCTGTCCCTTCAAACCCAAGCTCCTGCAAGTGTGTCTTTGACTAGAGACAGGAGGGAGGGGGCAGAATTCACAAGCCCAGGGTGTCCAAGCCCAGGCCTTGAGAATCCTGTTTCTTCCCTCTTCACTCATGGAGTCTTGCCTGGGACTCAGTTTCCTCTCACCTGAATGAAGGAAAGAGGGAGAAGAAAGAGTTAATGGGTTCAGGGTCCCCAGATTGACCCCTGGAAATCTATTATTGTTCCTGATGGTTGAAAGGACCCCTGCTGCACTGCTCTGCACCCCCCCATTTCTCTGCCAACCCCACTGATTGTGGATCAGCAGCTGGGGGAGGACTCAGCTGGGTGCAGGCAGCCACACAGGAGTGTGGGGAGCCCTGCAGCTACCCTTCCCCCCAAACTCCAATTTCTCCCTGGGCTTCTGGCCTCTTGAACCTCTAGGGAGGGGGTGGGCTCTTGCCTCATGGAGCCCTCAGTACCCTGGCCTCCAGAAAGAGGTCCTCCTCTGCTGGGACTCCTGCACCGGGGCATCACATAGGGGTCTGGGTCTGGGGTGGAGGTCTCTGCCCAACTAGGCAGCCTTTCTGCTGCTGGGGGAGGAGGAGGGTGAGGCAGCAAATGCTAGAGATGGCCAGGTGACTTGAGATAATGCTCTGGGGTGGCGTTTTGATGACGCAGAGATGACTGGCAAACCACATGAGCCTTGTCTTTCAGAGCCTTGCTGACCCCTGTACAAGAGTCTCCAGCCAGGAGAAGCCAACCAGCCAGGCCAGGGGCCTGGAGCCCAGGGAAAAGAAGAGGAGAGCCTGGCTCCCACCCGTAGAGTGAACATATGGACTGGCCCAGGGCCCAGAGTGGCTGGATGAGCGTGTTTGTCTGCTGGGCCAGAGTGGGAATGGCTGAAGGATGCTGTCTGCCCTGGCAGGCCGGGCTGGGCATAGAGCTGGCTTCCCTGCCCTGCCCCCTTCCCTTCACTTAACACCATTAACTAATCATTCTCCTCTCTCTGGCCTGGAAACAAAGCCAGCTAACCACCAAGGACAGTCAGTTCTGAATTCTTCTTCCGTTCTGAGGAGAATGAAGCCAGGTGGGGGTGGAGGAGTCCTCTCTGCAGCGAAAGAGAAATGAGAGCCCAGGGTGACATCCCTGCCCCCCGCATAACCCCACCAAACCAGCACATAGACTGTCCTTTAAGGAAGGCCGTAGCCTGCGCTGTCAAGGCAGCTCAGGAGTGGGTGGGAGAGGTCAGGGGACAGACAGCTTTGGGATGGCTTCACGAGGGGGGTGCACTTTGGGATTCCAAACCAAAGGAGGGTCAGGACCTTGCAGAGGATTCAAAGGGGACAGGGAGCAGGAAGGATGGGAAGGGGGAGCAGGAGGTGAAGAGTACCAGCCCTGAGCTCCTCCAAGACGCCAGAGGAGAGTGCTCCCGCAGCAGCAGAAGAGAAAAGACAACAGCGGGAGCACCTCCAGCAAGAGAGGATCGAGGCCTGCAGAAGTGGAAGTGGCAGACGCAGCCATGGGCCTTCCACCCAGCAGAGGCCCAGCACCTCTGACAGAGAAATGGGTGGGAAGCAGCCTGGCCTGATGTAGGCCAAGGCCAGAAGAAGAGGCCCTGGGGGCTGAGTCTAATTCTGTGCCTCGCTTTCCTCCAGGAGGCAGGGCCAGAATGCTGCTTCCCTCCACCCCCGTGGTAGACCCAGGCTCCAGAGATGAGAGGCCCCTCCTGTGCAGAATTCCCTCCCTGTGCCCTTCTGGTATGGGTTTGACCACAGGTAGAGAAACTGAGGCTAGGTGAGGTCCTGGTCTGGTCCCTCAGTCTCCTGGGTGGGTGCGGTCTTAAGCTCTTTGTAAGGAGAAATGTAGAAGTGGAGGGGAAAAGACAGGGCGGACCTATCAGGGGCCTGGATGGGGTGAGATGTGAACCGAGGAGTCCTCTCTCAGCTCTAGCATAGCGGACGGACGGACGGATGCAGTGGCTTCCAACCCACCCTTCTGGTCCAGGGGCCTTAACCAGGAGGATGTGAGAAAAGTGGGCTGGGAGGAGGAAGGAAGCTGATAAAGACGTGCTTGCAGCTGCGATGAGGAGATGGGGGTGGAGTGGGGTGGCCCAGCAATCTTGGTAACTATGGAGGCTGGGGAACCCCCTGGCCTGGCCAGAGAATAGGATCCAGCCAGGTCCTTGGAGGGGAGGTAGGAGAATTTTTCCAGAATGGGGGTCTGAGTTGGAAGAAGATTGTGCTGAGGGAGTGAAAACAGGGTGGGAGGAGGGTGGGGGTCAGTTGCTGCTGAGGACATCATCAAGCCAGGAAACCGGATACTGGGGGGCTGGGTGGAAGATGTGGGGGAAGAGATTGAATGGGGGGAAGCAGCCCTGCTCAGGCCGGACGCAGTCTCACCCATGTCCTTCGCACCTGACCAGGGGCAGGAGGAAGGAGGAGTACCCCAGCAACACTGGCAACACCATGGGAGAGGGGGAGGGTGGCTTTGGGGGGGATGGGAGGGGCTATTTTTAAACTTGGAAAAACCGTGAGTTCATCTCCACTCTGGAGGCCGCAAAGGCCCCATTGTACAGGGGTTGGGGGGGAGGTGAGTGGCACAATGTGCGATTATGTTGGAGCAGGCAGGGGGAGCAGAGGGTGGGGGAGGGGGGTGGGGGAGGAGGGTGGAGTAGGGCTGTCTTCGTCACAGCTGGCCTACTGAACTCTGGGGTCGAGCCAGGCTGGGGCTTGCACTGGGGTGGAGGAACGGTTTCTACCCTCACAAAGCCCCACGTTGGGGAGCTGGGGTCTCTGGCATCCGGTGGCTCATCCTGGGTAGGGGGCTGACGGTGGGATTCCCACAGCCTGGCTTTCCCAGGGACTGTAGGGTCTGTTCCCAGGCTCCCAGCATTCCTACAACTCCCCTGGGAGCTGCTGGCCTGTCCTCTCGGCCCCTTCCCTGCCAGGGAGTGGGGGGAGAGAAGGGGAAAGAGGATGTGGGTGCATCGGGACGCTTCCTGGGACAAGAGACCCTTAAGCCAGAGCGAGCGGGCAGCAATGGATGGCCGGGGTATGTTGAGAGGGGGTCACAGCCCTCCCATCCTAGTCCCTAGCCCTGCTGAGCCCTCCGATCGACCGAGGACTGCCCTTCTTGTCCCCTCCGACTCTAGGGACCTCCCCAAGTGGGCCAGCCCACCTGCCCGACCTCAGGCCTGCAGCACCGACGGCCTGGGCCCGGGGGAGCCAGGCGAGGCGGGAAGGCGCCGGCGCTAAGCTCCCGGGGCTCGCGGAGGTCCTGCCCGCCAGGCCCGGGGGCGGGGCATCCGGCCGAGAGCACCGACCCAAACATTACCATAAATGCTCAGGCGGCGCCGCGGGCCGGGCCGCGGCGGGCGGGGACCCCGGGCCCTCCGGAAGCCCCGAATGCCGTCTCCAGGCCTTTCCCAGCCCCGGCCAGCGGCGGGGATCAGGCTGCCGTGTCGCCCCCTCTGCGAATCGGCGGGGCGGGGGAGAAAACCGAGGCTGCGCGGCGAGTCTCTGGGGCTGCCTCCTGGGAAAGCCCCGGGAAGGGCAAGAGTAGGACCCTCCAGGCAGGATGTCAGCGTCTCCAGGGGTGGCGGCGGCTCGGTCCCCCTCCTGCTCTGCGAGCCCCACTCCTGTCCGCGGTGCTGTCCTGCGTGTCAGTTCCCTGGCCTCTGAGCACCTAATCCCCTTCCCATGTCCCTGTCCCCAGCCTGAACTTGGAGAATGAAGGATGATGGGGGGATGGGGCAGAGTGCTGGGAATTTACACCTCTCCCCCTCAGGGAAGTTCACATCCGCTCCCCAAAATACCACCACCCAGGGAGAGGAATGTCCCCAGAGAGCTGTTTGAGTTTGAGTTGTCGCTGAGGAAAGGCCAGCTGGCCTACAGGAGGGGAGCCTGTGGGAAACCCGAGTTCCGCAGCTCCTGGACCCTCTCCTCCCTGAAGGGCACTTGGGCATTTCCTTTTCCTTTCACACAGAGCTTTAAGCAACCCAGGAGGAGCCCTGGAGGAGGGGAGCCTTGTCATTCCCCCAGGCAGGGCCTGGGCTTCTCACTGCCGTTGGGGTGATGGGAGGCGACAGAAGAGGAAAGGTGAGAGGGGGGCCTCTGCCGCCTCCTGGGCACCCACACCTCAGTGGCTGGGGCCTTAGGGGAACTTGCAAAGTGGAAAGGCACAGGATTTTGAGTCACGGGAGCGCCCTACAGTAGGTCGGAGGGTAGCCGTGCTATCACAGGGCACCTTCCCTTCCCATCCCTGTCCCCCTGGAAACCGCTCCTTCAACTTTGGTCTCGAACACTCTGGCTGTAAGCTCCATGAAGGAAGTGGTGGCTTTGACACAGTCTGCCACTTAATTAGCTGATCTTGGGCAAGTGCCCTGACCAATGACTGTTGAGAGGGGACAGTGCTCTG